GTGAAAATGGATTGACACGGCAGAGATTCTACCAAGACTTCAAAGTTGCAGTACGCCCTATTCTCCATCATACATCATCATACATCTAAATTGAACATTTTTCTCTTGTGTGTTGTTCTCTGCAACTAGTTTGCTCTGCAAATTAAGTGCCAACCCACTTCAAAGTTGCAGTACGCCCTATTCTCCATCATACATCTAAATTGAACATTTTTCTCTTGTGTGAAGTTATTTTCTTGTTTTTATACGAAATGGTAAACGATTCTCTTTGTAGAGTCGTGTTGGTATTTGGATAGCACCATCAAGAAGTGGTTATATTATAGGATGCTTTCTTTTAAGGCATACTAGTTCAGCTGCCATTGCCCTGAACGAACTTGTTTTCCACAATTTTCTTTTTTAAAAAGTGCGAAATAATAATGTTTTAATTAAATGTTTCTAGGATCGTGTTCAAGAATATCGAAATGATTCCCTTGTATGTATTATATAATTGTTCAGGGTTTGAACAGTAACATATAACATTCATGATTTGTTGATAATGTAATTTACTTTTTATTTTATTATATATAAGTATATTAATATACTTTGTATTTGAGTATATTGTTATAGATACTTTCTTAAAAAATTAAAAAGATACATATTGTTATATTCATGTCATTTTTAATCCATAACAGATCTTAAAATAATCTTGAAAATGTATTTTAATCCTGATTTTTATATTTTAAGATTCACTATTTTTAAAAAAAATTAAGTATTCTAAATTTTTTATGATTTTCGATAAAAAAATTAATTTTATGATAAATATTGAAATTGACTTAAAAAGATAAAAATTCAACAATTCGGATATTTAAGTTGACATGGTCTAAAAGTTCAAATTATTAGGGTCAGTTTTGATTATATAAACTTGTTTGCATATTTGCATTTATTAGGGTCAGTTTTTGTGCGTGCGCATGCATGTGTGTATGTCACCTCTTGATTTTCTTTAATTGGGAAGGGGTTTTAAAGGTAGCTACAGCATACAAACTGAAGATTGATATATGTAGTCTAATTTTTTCCCAAAAAAAAAACACAAAAAAAATGAAATTTGTGTGTCTTGTCCGCATGTAATCAACGTTAAATGTTCCAATCAACTTCCATATTTAAGACTTGGGCGTACCGGACACTGCATACAAAAGCATCAACAAAACCAATTTTAGGCTTCCAAAATTAATTGCATTTCACTAAGTGATTACAGAAAATTTATTCATTAGGCAAAATGGAACATGGGAAACACAAACAAGAGACAAATCGTCAAGAAAATTACAAAACCCCATCATCATCTTCATCATTTAACCTCACCCTAATTAATATTAATTCATGCATGAAAGCACTCACAAAAACTCATATAATCATGAATAATACGATCTCTTAATTTCAGATTTCATATCATCTAGCTAGAGAATGGAGCAAGAACTAGTAGGATAAGGATCGTAAACTACTTGACAAGACGAGGTTGGGTATGTCGGACATTGAAGACCCGGGCAGTAATTCAGTGGCACCTTATTATTGTAATTATTATTATTATTATGATCTTCTTTCTTATTCTTTCCTTCTTTCTTTTCTCCTTTCACTTGTTGCACACTCAATATGCTCGCATGCCGGAACTTCTTTCTCAGAAGCCTCACCAAGCAAACCGGGTCGACCCCGCCGTCTCCGATCACCACCACTTGGTCTCTGTCTTTGCCTTCTATTGACACCGAATTCACACCTGCACGCACACACTCCTCACACATTCAAGCTTGATCGCTAAAATATCATACTGTGGATGTGTGTGCGTGACTCGACTAAACTAAGCTCTCATAATATGGCTTGCATGCATGTACCTTTAGCTGCGGCTGCAATTGTGAGGGCCTTGCTTCTGCATTTGTTGCAGTCTAATGTTACTTTGATCACTATTTCTTGCTGCATCATCTGTGCCAAGATACAGTGCTCTTAATAATTTGAATATATATAAATATAGATATATATAATTTCAAAGCAGGCAGTATCAGAATAATATATATTAACAATCTGTTCACGCTGTGTACTTGAAAAGGAGATTGATCTTACCTTCATGCTTGATTTCATTTGCCTGTGTGCGCTTTGTGGCTTTGCAAGTGTGAATGTGATTGAGAGGGGATAATAATGCCTAATTATTTGGTCTATATACATATGACTGGTGCCATAATATATATATATATATATATGTATAAGTCTAATTGAGGAAGCGTAGGTGAATAAAGCGAGATTTGTTTTATTACAACAGTAAGGTTTATATTGGTTACTTGAAAGTTTAAAAGTTACTCCCTCTATCCTAATTTATAAATTTTTTTTAAAATTATACATATTAATAAAATTTATTAAATACAGTTTACAATATTAATTTTTCTATAAATTTTCAAAAATATCCTCCATTAATAGAAAAGATGAGGAAGAAAATTTATTTAAGGAGTGAAATGATGAGATATATTATATTAGAATAATTATATTTAAATTTTTCATGAAAACTATACTAGACGGCATAATAAATTTAAAATATTTTTGTGACAATGAAAAATCAGTTTAATTTAAATTCAAAAAGTATCCTTTTCGTGTAATTTCGTTTTTTTTTTTCTGTAAAAGCATGTGATTTTTTTCAACAAGCAAAGTCATATGCCATGTCCTGACGTCGAGCTGCAATCATCAATATATTAATATTCAATATATAATACATAATTTACCTCATATTATTATTCATGAATTAAGATTGAATATAGTAGCTAATTCTTAAATCTTTAAATATACGATAATATAATATAAGAGGATCCTTAACATAAAAAATCTTATATAAATTTGCTATCTCGTGAAGAAAATTTCAATAAATTGTTTCTCATCTATATATATCTATGCTTATGTTAAATATCATTAAAAATTTTACCTAAAATAATAAATATAATTAGCAAATGCATGAGTGATCACAGGCTCAAAGCAATGCAATATATAGCTGTATAGATAATTAAGAAGGAATATAATTACCACAAGTTACACTGAAATTAGTTTCCGGTCAATTCCTGCTATTTTCTTTCATTTTCAGTGTGGTCCAGGAGTCGCACTTTAGCTATATGAGCGTGAATAATTAATTATTCGTGAGCAACATTATTAATAATTAAAGCTAATGATTATTAATAATTTTTGGTTCTATTTTAAAAGTAGCTCACTACTATATATAATTTTTGCTATTATTAGCATTATAGATTCCTTTGATGGCATTAATTCAGGTCCATGCAACACCAGTCAGATTTACATTAAGGTATAGGAGAATATAAAGCTTAAATAGTTGCTTTTAATTTGCTGGATTTTCATTAAATTAAAAATGCGTGGATGATTAGTCAGACAGCTTCATAAATTAAATTTTTTTATTAATTTCAAAAAGAAAAATTGATATACAAGTCCTTATAATTTTATTAAATTTTGAATTAAATCTCTATAATTTATTTTATTTTAATCAATCCTTTATAATTTAATTGATTAAATATGGTAGCCCTTAATAGTTAAAATTATTCAATTTTTCTTTTTAATAATGAAATTAAGGACTTTTATATGTTTATGAGAAAAGCATATGATTTTCAGATTAATTACATAATTTTTATAATTCAAAATTAAAATAATTAGGTCATTTTCTAAATAATCCTTATACATATAGAATTTTTATAAACAAAATTAATAAAAATATAAATAATGGTTTGGTTAAAATTATTAAACCAATTTTCTATAAACTTTAAAAGTGTTTTTATTTTAAAAAAGTTAAGCATTCATTAATAATTTTAACATTCAGGGACTATTTTATTAAAAAAACACACTACAAGAACTTAATCCAAAATTTAAGAAAACTAAAAGAACTTACATATTAATTTTCCTATTTATAAATCAAATTAAAGGGAGGGGTGATTAAGATGATGCACATGCATGAACAATTAAGAAATTTAACAATCTAACGTGCGCTCAGTAGTGTCCCCCACCTTGATAAAAAAAAATTATAAATAAAATATTTACATTTTACAACTTTACACCTTTACTTTTAATCTTTTACACCTTTTAAATTAAATAAAAAATATTTAAATTCAAAAACTTATTAAATATATAATATTTTAATAATCTAGATAAGATATAAAGATTATATTTACAATAAAACATAAACATTTGTTCAACATAATTTTTTAAACGAAAAATGATGATTAATCTATTTATATTATTATAATTTTAATCATAGCATAATTATTATTTTTAATTATTAAATTATTATTTTTAAAAAATATAAACTTTTTTATTAAATTATCTCATACCACTTAACTCTAAATCCTGACTCTGTCACTGTTTTGCCTCGCGCATTCCGTTCATGTGGATCCCAAGAAAAATAAGACCCACATCACGTGTTACTTCATCTTCATTCTACACAATTACTTTTAGATATTTAAGCTGACATCAAACTACAAAGCTTCACAAATGAAGCTATTTAACTGCCCGGCAACAAAAAAATCTCAAAAACAAAAACAAGACAAAAAGGAAATTGCATCCAAAATCTCATAAAAAATATTATTCACATGCAAGGACTAATAACAAATCACCATTTAAAAAAAAATCATATTTTCATTTTAATAATACATTTCATATAAGTCTTTGTTTCCGAATAATATTCTTCACAGATCATTGGATGCAATTTTCCCCCAAAAAAGGGAGATTGACATTTAAGGTTAAAGGAATTCTTTGCAATAAGAGCCTATCAATTTTGTTTTGGATATTATATTGTAAAAATACGTAAATATTGTTAAAATCTAAACCTTAACTTGTCAACAATATATACGTGTTTCTACAAGACAATATCCGAGGCAAAACTGATTTTCTTGACAAAGTCTTAAACGTCATTCTCCAAAAAAAAAAAATGACCACCAAAGGCCACAAACGAAAGTTTAGCAACCAAAATCTGAAATTAAAAGGCCTCAGTTCCAGCTCTAGAACCAACTGACATGGTAAGACCTAAGGCTATCATATCCATCCCTAAAATTATCACTCGGAAGATACCTAACATTACCGGATTCAGATTTAGGCCATGGTCGTCTCTGCAAGTCAGAACTGATTCCATGAACATATTCAGAAACAGATCTTCCCAATATCATACCCATATCTCTAACATGTTCTGTTTGTGGATACCTAAACTCAGTTGATTTAGGCCATGTAAATGATCTCTGCAAGTTAGAACTGATTCCATGAACATAACCAGAAACTTGTCTCCCCAGTATCATATCCATATTCCTAACATGTTTTGTTTGTGGAAACCTAAACTCTGCTGATGCAGGCCGTGATGATCTCTGCAAGTCAGAGCTGATTCCATGAACATAACCAGAAACTTGTCTTCCCAGTATCATATCCATGTTCCTAACATATTCTGTTTCTGGATACATAAACATATTTGATTCACACCACAATGATCTCTGCAAGTCACAACTGTTTCCTCCTCCAAACATTGGAAGCTGTCCTTTTCTGCAACCAACTACTGATGGTGATGAGTGTTGGCTGAAACTTCTCGGGTAATGATGATTACTGAGAATTCTTTGGTTTCTGGGGTTGGATTCCTTCTTCATTATCGCGACGAACTTGAAAGTGCTACACTTACCCAAGGGGAAAGGCTCATCAGCCCTGGACCCATCACCCCGCTTGTTGTTATAACCAGGATAATCTTCTTTTTTGAAATCAACGCACTCTATCGGCCACAGAAAGCTTTGTATCCCAAGCTCATTAATGCACCAATAATTAAATGGTGGTGTGGTCTTGTGATTTACATGAACTTCACCGTTAAATCTAAGCATGCTCCTTGCATTCATAAAAAACCCAAGTACAAGGTTCTTGTGTTCCCTGGAAATGCCAGAAAAGGGATGCTACAGTCTTCACATGCACTAACTGAAGGGGAGTTTACAATAATAATTCACTTATGATGTCATTGCAATCAATATAAGAATATATCAATCAACATTCACAAGTTATGAATAGTTCAACTAAATCCTTGAACTCGATGCAATGCATGGGAAAACGTGTCTAATTATATCCAAACCAAGACATGTGAAACCAAACAAGTACGTGTAGAGAGAGAGAGACTTAAATACGAACATGTATTACAGACAAAATACAAACATGGAATGCCAACTTCTACACTAGTAAGGTCAGTAAGATTCATCATTAATATGTATTGACTAAAAAGTCCTTGCTTTTCTTTTGATAGACAACGTAGAGGTACTTGGATCTTTTCTTTATGAAGAAATTATCAATACGACAACATGGAAATCATTTCCTCACAATACAGTAAATACAAGATTAATATAAAATGACTTAAATACCCTCACACATGCATTGTTTTCCAGTGAAAGTACTAAAGCCTTTTAATTACAGTAATCAACGTAAACCGTGGTGAACCTACATGTTAGTGAGTGCGGGCACTTGCTCCCACTCACTTTTCCAAAAATTGTAAATTTTACCCTTTTTGACCCCACTAGTTTTAATATTTTGACCCACTAAGTTTCTATCCTAATAGTTTAGCCTTTTGCCCCCACTAACATAGGGTTTTGGATCCGCTAAAAAAACTATTTTTCTCATTTTTTAACATGGTCGATAGATGCAGAAATGATATTCACTTCTGGCCTTTAAAAAGTTTTCTTGGGTTTTGATGACACTTGGAGATACAATATATTGAAACCCTAGATGAGTATACTAATCTTCCGAGACTTTCGAAAATTATTCGTGAAAAATTCTAGCTTTACATATCTTTAAAAAAGCCATTCCAATCTTATTTAGGACATTTGCCACATAGATACTTACAGCAATTTCATATTTACTATAGCCAACCATCTTATACATAAGTCGCCACATGCCAGGGAAATTAAATTTTTCACATACCAAACTAAACAATAGCTTAGACTGAAAATCAGATTTTGAGCATCAATAATTGTCAAGTGAAATCCTTCGGAGAGGCTGCGAATCTTTTCATTTCTATTATATATCTATGGTCTAAAAGCTTAAAAGTATAATTGTAAAATAACAAAAGACTTTTTTCACACCAAAATCAAAATATATAATAACACCTATTACGAGTCACATTTTCACAAGCCATGTATGATGCAACTCATTTGTAGAAACCGTGTAACGTGGAAAAAAGTGTCTAATCATATATTAGCAAATTCATAATATCAATCTATATATATTAACATGTTAGACAAAAGTAAAACGAATTCTAACGGGGAACTCACTGAATCAGGGAGATGCTATCTTCTTTGCCATGAAAGCCTGCATGAGGGAAGTTGAATATAATTCTATCAAATCTCCTCATTTTCAAGTATGGATGAAATTTCATTTGGGTTGCATCAACTCCGTGCAACACCATTGCCCCCAGCTTTGTTAAGGAAAGTAAATTTGACATGGCTTTCTTGTACTTCCTCACCACTTGATCTTGATGAACAGGAAAAGCAATCAATGACGTAACCAATATTCACAAATGTACCAAAAAAAAAATTAGTTATATTCACTCCTACTAAGCATACTCATAACGAAAGGCTGAAGAGTAAACCAGATTGACAGAATCTACAATCTACAAATTCGATGACATGCACAAAAGTAATGACTGTTCTTTCAGAGAGCAAAATCTATGAGATGCTCATAGGAAAATGGAAGAATAGCATATAAACATAAGCACTTACACAAATCGTGGAGAATCAGAAAACTAGATATAGCTTTTTGAAAAGAGAAGAAGCAAGTAGAGATTAAGGCCCAGTTCTTATCTAAACTAAGCTTTGTTAGAATACCTAAAGAAAATCAAATATTTAGTTCCCTGACTCCTCTTTGCAGGTCAAGCAATATACAAACGACGGGGGAAAAAAATCAAATGGAAAAAATCCTTATCTGCGTGGAGTTAAATACCGATTATCAATGATCCCTTCAGCGAAATCGCAGAGCATAGCTTGACTTCGTTTGGATGATTATAAAAGACCAAGCGAACAGGAATCGAACTCACTTAGATGAACAAATTCATCGTTTTGCAAACCATTAAGGGAAAATAATAGTGATTTCAAGAGGGAAGGGGGGGAAAAGATAAACAGGCCCAGAGAATTCAAAAGCTCCAGCAATAACTTAATGTAGTATTAGTAAGAAGCGTCATCATCAAGAAATCACCAAAACCCTATACTATTTTTGATAACCCAGTATTCAAGTTAATATCTTTCACGACGAGGGGCAAAAAACTGAAGAAGAAGAAGCACACACACAAATGTATAAGTAAGAACAGAGGAAGAGAGAGAGACCGTAAGTGTCGAGGGAAGAAGCAACGATGTTGAAAGCAGAACCAAAGGACTGAGCCAAGCAGAGGGAGAAGGAGAAATCACCCTCACCCACCAAAAATATTTGATGATGGAAGGAATAATATTTCATCCATTTTTCTTCCGATGATCCTTCTCCAACGCTCAAACCCAGCTCCGCTCTCTCCATTGCGTGCGTCAGAAGCTTTCCGTAAACGAGACTCCGAAAGCTGAAGCCAAATTCAAAATTTTGGTCTTTCTGGGTCCTGGGGTAGTCGTAGTCATCAGTCGTAGTGGCAAATGAATCGGTTTTTTTAGTGAATCGTGCTTTGAGCCGTGATAACCGAGTGACGTGTGTTCTATTTTGGTGAAACAATTAAAGATTTTATTACATATTACATTTTTTTAATTTATGAAACTGTCAGAAAAAGTCAAAACAAATTATTATCCTACTTCTTCCCAAGGGAAAAAAAACATGTCTTCATTGCCAATTGTTTTTAAAATTATAAAAACATCCATTTGTTCAAAGATTTTTTGTTAGTACATTGTTATTATTTCATTTCTTGTAGTTATAGTTATAGTTACCTAAAATGTATTTTTTTTCTGGTCTATTCTTAATTTTTGTTGACACACTTTCTTGCCCTGCTGATGGCTGAATATTATGGACAAAAAAAAAAGAATCTATTGCAGATTTTAAAATATAGTATTACCTTTATATGGTAAAGTTTTGAAACTTTTTTATTTGGTATTGTTTGGCATGATAGAAAAGTTTTTGATAGAATTAAAATTAAAATTGAAAATAGAATTAGAATTAGAATTAAAATAGAATTGAGTTTTAAAAGTGTGTTTGGTATGATGATGGAATTTTAATATAATTTTATCTTATATGCATTTTAAAAATATGAAAAGGCTAAAATGCCCTCTTCCAAAAAAAAAAAAACTCATCTTTTCCTCCCACCATTGCCTCCAAAGCTATCATTGATGGTCACCAAAGAACTCAACGAACAATAAAATAAAAAGGAGCATAAACACTGCAATGAAAAGGAGAAAAGCCATGACACCATGAACCCATTCCTTTTCTTCTCTTCTTAATATTTCTACTCGTTTCTCTTTAACAGTGCACTTGCTGCCCCCATCCTTTGTTCCATCTCTGCATCTGACTGACTTGCTAAACCAGTGACAAAGGTGAGAACTAAGAAGCTCAATGAAGATTTTGGGCCTTCCTTCTTGGGACTCGTGATAGATTGTGTTCATCCTCTTGAGCAAGTGGTGTTCATCAACATATCTAGATGAAAGGAGATATGTAGTTGTCGATAATGTTGGAAGGGAAAGAAACCATCTATCGCAAAAGAAAGGAAATGAAGGCAAGGAAGAAAAGCGGTGCTTCTGCATTGAGAAAGAGATGGTTCGTGGAGAAGGGAGAAAGGGCAAACTGAAAAAAGGAAACCATGAAATTAGATTTTATGATGCTTATGACGGAATTGAATTCTGTCAAATTTTCTTGAATTCAGATTTTAAAGAATCATAATTATTGCATATCAAACATACATGTTAACATATTCTATTTTCAATTCCATTTCTTTTTTTATGATTCCAAGCTATCAAAGAGGGCCTTAATTTTTTATAATTCATCATGTTTCTGTTGAAATCTGATAGCAAACGTAAGAGGGGAGGGAGAAAGATCATAATTAATATTTTCATGTATTAAAAAATATAAGATATTTTTAACTAAATTTTATCCTTCAATAAAATAATCAGTTGTATTTAAATTATCATCATCTTTTTATATTTATCCTTATTTAATAGTATATTTCACTTTAAACTGAATATAACATAATTTATTTATTATAAATATTTTTAAAAAAACACACTTATTAAGCTTTAAAACATTAAAAATATCTTATATTTTTTAAAATATAATTTCTTAAAATATGCATTGTATTTTTTAATAAAAGGAATACTACCGCTGCATATTTTTATTTTCCCTTTATAATTACATATCTATTTTCAATACCTTCATCTCTACAATACCACATTTTATATTCAAGTTGTCCCTTTTATGTCGAATATTCATTATCATATATCCTTGCTGTTTTTAACAATTCAATGCGATTTTTTGATAGAATGTAGAACAATGATTAATTAAGATAATTAAATATATTAATGTTATCTATTAGAGATTTATAGTTATCTTAAATTTATTTATCTTCAATAAAATATTCCATCCATTAAAAAATATAAGACATTTTAACCAAATCTCCTTCTTTAATAAAATAATTAATTGTCTTTACATAAACATTATTTTTTTCATATCTACCCTTATTTAATACTTTAAAATAAAATATAATGATTTATTTATTTGGAACATTTTAAAAAACATTATTTACAACTTAAAACATTAAAAATGTCAATATTTTTTAATATCTAACTCTTTAAAAAATATCTTACATTTTTTAAAGAAGAGAGTATAATATTAGCATCATGCTTTTTAGAGTTTAAATTAGATTATATAAATTTAAATTATTAGTATTATTTTATTCTCAGGATTCTATAAATACAGACAGAGTTTTGCACTCAGTTCTTGACTATTATAAAATAAAGAATTTTTAGGAACCTTTTCCTGTTTCACGTCATATTTCTTTTAAATTTTGTAGGGACTTCCGATTACAAAGAGTTTCCGGTGCCTCCCGCGCCATTTAAAAAATGTATATTTAACAAATATAAAAAATTAACTTTTATTCAAATTTAGAATACATACTTATGATTTTTAACATAAAATAAATAGCATATTTCTGACCAGACATAAAAAAAAAAAAAAAAAAGAAGCATTAACATATAAGGCATACATTGTTCTCATAAGTTATCTTTTCAACAGAATAATCACTAATATATATATATATATATATATATATCTATAAGCATATCTAAAGCCGTTCAAATGTTAATAAGCAACACCCAAAAAGGATAGAGAATCCCAACCCCACTTTTTCCCCCAGTTACTTCATAGAGTAAATAGAATAATAGAAAAAGTCACATTCAAGGAACTAATAAGAAATTTATTCACAGTCAAAGACTAATTAGAAATCTCATTAAAAAAAGAAATTCATGTTTTCATTTTAACAATAATCTATTCCATATTAATCCTTATTTGCAAATAAGTTTTTTATTAGATTCTTGAATGTTATTCTCCCTGAATAACATTTCAAGATACATGAATTGTTTTCAAAGTACGTACACAAAAGCTTCACAAAGGGCAGCTAGTAGCTAGGGGACCACAAAAGATACAGCAAAATGGCCACTAGAAGCCACAAAAGTTTAGCAACAATCATCTGAGACTGAGAGGATTGATCATTTCCAGCGCCAGAACCATTTGACAACGCTAAGGCTATCTATCATATTCATATTCCTAACATTACCCAATTCAAGCCATGAAGATCTCTGCAAATCACTGATGATTTCATGGACATAATCAGAAATTTGCTCTCCCCAGTAGCTCCATTCCAGTGTTTGAGTAGCCTCCTCCCAAAATTGGAATGCGGCTTCCCATAGTCATAGGGTAATGATTACTGTGATCTCTTTGATGATTCATGGCGTTGGGTTTCCCATTCATTAGTATTGAAAACTTGAAGGTGCTGCACTTACCAAGCGGAAAAGGCTCATCACATCTGAATCCATTACCTCGCTTGTTGTGATAACCGGGGTAATCTTCTTGCTTGAAATCAACACACTCTATCAGCCTCAGAGAACTTTGATCGCCGAGTTTCCCAATGTTCCAATCAGTGAATGGTGGCGTGGCGTGATTTATATGGATTTCACCATTGGGTCTCAGCATGCTCCTTGCATCCTCGAAGAACCCACGTACAAGGTTCCGGTGTTTCCTGTGAATGTGCAAGGACAAGGATGCTAATTGCTAAAGCCTTAGCATAAAAATAGAGAAGAGTGCACAACCAAGCCAAGACAATTAGAGTCAACAAGAAATAGACCCAGATTTGTACCCCTATCTCTCTCTCTCTCTCTCTCTATGTATATAGCGTGTGAGTGTGTATTCACAAACATGCATGTGCAACATGCACAAGCCACATATACGCACATTTGCACACAAGTTATGAATAGTTCAGCTAATTTTAAATTCCTTAAACTCCATGCAATGCATGGGAAAACGTGTCTACTTATATCCATACCAAGACAGCTGAAACCAGACAAGTGTGTATGGAGAGAGAGAGAGAGAGACTTAAATAGGAACATGTCATACAGACAAAATACAAGCATGGAATGCCAACTTCTATACTAGTAAGGTCAGTAATATTCTTAACGTGTATTCACCAAAAAGTCCTCGGTTTTCTGTTGATAGACAACACAGAGGTACGTGGATCTTTTCTTTATGAAGGAATTTCCTCAAAATATAGTAAATACAAGATTAAGATGAAGTTACTTAAATACCCTCACACATGCATTGTTTGCAGAGGAAGTACTAGAGCTTTTTAATTAAAGTAATCAATATAAAAAGTATTTTCATGGTTGACAGATGTAAAATGATATTCACTTCTTGCCTCTGAAAAGTTTTCTTGGGCTTCGATGACATTTGGACATACAGAATATTGAAACACTAGATGAGTATCCTAATCTTCCAAGACTTTGAAAATTGTTCGTAAAAAATTTGAGCTTTACATATAATAAAAAAATGCCATTCCAATAGTATTTAGGACGTGCCACACATATACATACATAAATAGCAGGGAAATTAAATTGTTCATATACCAAACCAGACAGCAGCTTAGAATGAAAATATAAATGAGCAGAAGAATCATCAGACTAATGTATAAGGACTAGGATATCAAGATTGCCACATGTTCTCTGTTGAAAATCAGATTTTGAGCACCAATAATTGCCAAGTGAAATCTTTTGGAAAGACTGTGAATCTTTTTTTTCCTATTATCTATAAGGAATCGTGTAACATATGGGAAAAAAGTGTCCAATCATGTGTCTGTGTGTGTCTAGCACATTCATTATATCTATAGATATCAAAATGTTAGACAAAAGTTGAATGATTTCTGATGGGAAACTCACTGAATCAGGGAGACGATGTCTTCTTTGCCATGAAAGCCAGCATGAGAGAAATTGAATATAATTCTATCAAATTTCCTCATTTCCAAGTATGGATGAAATTTCATTTGGGTTGCATCAACTCCGTGCAACACCATTGCTCCTAGCTTTGTTAAGGCAAGTAAATTTGACATGGCTCTCTTGTACTTCCTCACAGCTTAATCTTGATGAACAGGAAAAGCAATCAAAGACATAACCAATATTCACAACTGTACAAAAACAACGAGTTATACTCATTCTTACTAAGCACTCATCATGAAAGGCAGAAACAGATTGATAGAATCTACAATCTACAAATTAAATAACATGCACAAAAGTAATAACTGTTCATTCGGAGAACAAACTCCCTAAGATGCTCATAGGAAAATGGAAGAACAGTATACAAATACAAGCACTTCCACAAATCGCGGAGATCCAGAAAACTAGATATAGCTTTTTGAAGGAGAAGAAGCAAGAAGAGAAGAGATTAAGCGAGGTTCGTGTCTAAACTAAGCTTCGTATGAATACCAAAAGGAAATCAAATATTTAGTTCCTTGATTCCTCCTAGAAACTCTTTGTAGGGAATGCAACATACAAACGGAAAAAATATATATATAACGTTAAAATTCCTTATTTGCGTGGAATTACAAACGAGAAAGCTAACGATTATCAATGATCCCTTCAGCGAAATCGCAGAGCATAGCTTGACTTCGTTTGGATGCTTAGAAAAGATGAACAAATTCATCGTTTTGCAAACTACTAAGGGAAAATAATGGTGATTTCAAGAGGGAAGGGGGCAAAAAACAAACAAAACCCAGAGAACTCAAAAGCTCCAGTAATAACTTAATGTCGTATTAGTAAGAAACGTCATCATCAAGAAATTACCAAAACCCTATACTATTTTAGATAACCCAGTATTCAAGATAGTATCTTTCACGACGAAGGGCAAAAAACTGAAGAAGAAGAAACGCACACAAACGTAAACGTCGGAGCAGAGGAAAGAGAGAGACCGTTAGTGTCGAGGGAAGAAGCAACGATGTTGAAAGCAGATCCAAAGGATTCAGCCAAGCAAAGGGAGAAGGAGAAATCACCCTCTCCCACCAAAAGTGTTTGTTTCTTCTTCTTCAACGCTCAAACCCAGCTCCTCGGCTCGCTCCATTGCGTGCGCAAGAAGCTTTCGGTATACGAGACTCCCAAAGCTGAAGCCAAACTCAAAATTTTGGTCTTTCTGGGTCCTCGGGTCGTCGTAGTCATCTATCACAGTGGCAAATTAATCGTCTTTTAGTGAATCGCCTTTTGAGCCGTGATGACCGATTGTTCTATTTTGGTGAAAGAATTAAAAATTTTATTACATATTACATTTTTTAATTTATGAACCAGTCAGAGGCTTGGAGCTAGTTTAAAAAAAGTCAAAAAACAAATTTTATCGTATTTCTTCCCAAAAGATAATGACAAATAAATCCAAATAGAAAAACGACAATAGTCCTGCAATAATCTTGGGCAAAGTATGATAATGTCTTCTAAATTTTAGTATATATTTAATTTTTAATTTGCATTTAATAAAAGTATTTAATTATTTATTAAATTTGGTAAAAGCACGGTGTGATTTGAATATGTTTTTGTGTATTACCCAAATAAACTTTTAATGAATCTAATTGATATTAAAGTTTTTGATAAAATGATAAAAAAAAAACTTTTACAAATTGAGGAGATCAAAGGACTTTTACAAAGGGATTGGCAGGTCGAAGTGGCGAAATTGATAGACAGAAAAATGGAGAGGCTAATTTCTTGACCAAGATTGCCCTACGACGAGCTACTAATTTTGAACTTTTCCATGGTGTGGAAGCTATTAATCTGCTCGAGGAGTTAGAGCCTAACTAGTTTAACTTTTTTAGCCTTTGTTTGTTTACTTTTAGTTTATTGTTTTTCTTTGTCTTTGGTTGTTCCTTTGATTATAAAAAGAATTAATTTAAAAAAGTGCAACAAACATTTTTTTTCATAATTTTATTTTAAAAATTCACAACTATAGCTTAACAAATAATTAAAGTAATTTAAATATTCATAACTTTCTTTTATCATTCACAACTCTAGATATGATTTAAATGTGCTTTTAAAGATTATCCAAACAGGTCCTTAATAGATCTAATTATTATTAAAAATTTTGATAAAATGACAAAAATAACTTAATTTTAGTGCAACAAAACTTTTTTATTATAATTTTATTTTGGAAATTCACATCTCTAATTCAAAAAATGACTAAAATGATTTAAGCATTCATAACTTTTTCTCACCATTTTTCTTCAATCAACAAAGTGCAACCAAAAATTTTTTGATTCACAACTTTAGTTTTGAAATTCATAACTATTTTTCAGCAAATGATTATAATGATTTAGGCATTTGCAAATTTTTTTCACTATTTTTTTCAATCAGCAAAGTGTAATGAAGCTTTTTTTTTTTTTCTTTTAACACTTTGGTTCTAAAATTTACAAGTCTAATTTAATAAGTGACTAAAGTAGCTTTAGGCATTTACAACTTTCTCTCACCATTTTTTTCACTTTTTAAAATTAAAGGATATTTTTATTATTTCATAAAAAACTTTAATGACAATTAGGTTCTTTAAAACTTAGAAGGTATTATCACATTTTGTAAGACTAAATTGTCATTTCTCTACTTTAAAAAAATTTATTTGTCATTTTTCCAAAAAAAAATAGAGAGAATGAAAATTAAGCACATCATAAAAAATTAATATCAAATTAAGATCTTTCGTAATTAGGGTTTCCAAATTCACAACCCCTCCTCTTATGTTTTAATATTAAAATCTTTCAAAAAAATCTTAATTTCATATTAATTTTTTATGAAGTTTTTACATGCCATTCTCCTCGGAAAATATCTTTAACACTAATTGTTTTTAAAATTAAAAACAAAATCCTCATGCACAAAGATTTTTTGTCAATACATTATTGTTTCATTTCTTATAATTGCATAAACTGTGGTTTTTCTTATGCTCTATTACTAGTTTTTGTTGACATGCTTTCTTGGATAGAATTTCGACTAAAAATCAAGAATGTGATTTAATTATTAACAAGTCTTGAAAAAATTTAAAACTTCAATTTAGTCTTAGAGGACTAAAGTGAAAATAATTTTAATAATAAAAAAATTAAAATACTCTTTACTTATTAATTTTGCTCAAGATACAAAATTAATAGTTGTTAATTTTCTTACTTCATTTATTAATTTATTAATATAAGTTATAAATTAGATGACTAGATTTATCAACAATGTCACATCCAAAAATGCGACATAAATGGCACGCATAAGAGGAGGTTAGGCTTTCAAAATGAAAACCAATTAAAAAGAGTCGCCACCAAAATTTTAAAAAAAATTTTTAAAAAACCTCTAAAAAACTAGAAAAGATAGTCTGTGAAAATTAAGATGAGTTCAGGGGTCACTTATGTGTAAGAAAGTTGTTAGGCATCCCACAACATCCATTTGTGAGAAGAATTACCTTAATCTCATTGCGTGAAAATCATATGGCCAATTATCTTAATGCCTATTCAATTCTGTATAAAATGCAAACAAAACAATTATTTAATTATAAGGGAACTTGATTCAAAATTAACTTTTGAGGCATACATACCCTTTTATAGGAATCAAAATCCACATAGTTTGGGACAGAAATTAGTGTCAATGGTTTTCTTTATGATTTTCATGAAAATAGAAAGTTAAATGAAAATAATTTATCAATTGCAAATAAAACAATTTTTCTAAAATGCAGGTAGGTGTATTTTAATTTTTAAAGATAATTTAGCTTCACTTTCTTACTCCCATTTTTTGTTTTGAAGATTTATTTGGAGATTCATTTCGTCAATATAAAAAGGTAATTTTAAAAAAATTTATTTAATGTGCCTACGAAAACTTATTGTCACTCATGGACATACTCATGGCAGAAAAAGATGAGGTAAAAATAAATAAATAATTATTTATTACATATCATGATTTAATTTATTTATTATTATGTTTATTTCTTGTGAGCATGGTCATTGTTATTGTTAAAAGATAAAAAAACATAAATGAATAATAATGATTATTTATTATTATTATTATTATTATTATTTTAAAAAATATTTTATTATATTTGAAAAAGACTTATTATTTAATTACTATTTAAGCCATTTGATTCATTATTAGCCTAAAAAAAGATGAGCTTAAAATAAACCATTTTTTAGATAGTAAATCCTTAAAAATAATTTTAAACCAAATCCTATGGCAATTTATTATTACTCACAATTTATTGATTCATATCAAAATATCTATGATGACTTGGTACCCTCATAGAAAGGCAAAATGAATAACTTGCCTTCCCACTGTTCATTTTTTAAAAAAAAATTATGATGAATAAAGAACCAAAAATATTCTTGATATACAAACGCAAGATATAATTAATATTAGTACATACAGAGATTTAATATCCCTCACAACTCATTAAATATAAACTTAAGTATTCATGGGGACTTAATGTCCCTCGTAGCAAAAAATCTAAAATAGATAAGTAAATGATCATTAATATATAGTTAAAAGACAAGATAATTAGCCGAAAAAAAATAAATTATCCTCTCTATAATGTTCAAGAGAAGGAAAAGATTGTGACTTTTGACAAAATGGTCAAATTATTTCATTCATCCCTATCTATTTGTTAACTTGTCCAATATTTTTTTACAATTTTATTTTTCATATTAGACATAATCACAATAAAGTTAATAGTAACTTAAGAGAAACCCAACCATGAAATTTAAAAATAACAAAAAGTCAAGATTTTGAATCTTCCCACTAGGTTACACATTTTTTCACACTGTGAAGAAAATCTAAAAATTCTTTAACCATGATCACAAAGAGAATTCCATCACACCATTTATCCAATAAAAGACAAACGAAAATAAAACAAAAAAAAATAAGCTTTCACATTCAGCAAATCGATGCAAGAGTATCATATGATCAATCACAACAAGAACATCCTTATAAGTCTAAAACATGTATAAGTCCCATGGCTTTCAAGTTCATAAAATCAAGACCTGAGTTCAAGAAAATCACATTCCCTTGCGATAGAGGAAGAGGATTTCCAGAATTAATTTTGCATCTCGATTAAAATAAGATCATTGCTTTAAAAGTAGTAAACCAAAACATGATTTTAACAAGGCAATATCCATAACATATTCTTAAAATTTCCTCATATAGCAACCAAATGTGCAACGAGAAGCAAGTTTATATATGATTAAATTACAAAAGGAAAAATTTATCACAAGCAAAAAAAAAACAACAACAAACCAACCAAAACATATGAACCTAAAAATTTCTCACTCCATCTGTTTTTTTTTTTCCTTTGCTAAGACAACCCCCAAAATTCAAGTTCTTAAGAATAAATGGCAACAGAGAGACAGAGGAGCCACAGAACAAATAAAAAAAATATAATCTTACTATACTTGATGATGTTTCGATGCTCTTTCTTCCCTATCTGCACTTGATTTTTGCCTTTCCTTCTCTTAGTCTTTCAATCCTCGCCTACTCTCTTAAATCGCTCCTTCTCTCTGAATTGTCTCCTCTCGTTCTTCTTTTTTTCTGACCTCTCATTTGATCATACCATCTCCCCTTTATATAGAAGACTGATACCATACCCGAATCGCTCAAATCTATGAACCATGACTTGATTTGGCTTCTCCTTCCTCACATGGTGCTGAATTTCATTTGCAAAGTCGGCCTTCATCAGTATTGTCTTTGATCTTTCCTCTTCTTGCTCTATTTCTTGGTCTAACCTTGAAAGGAAACACAGGGAAGGACTAAGACGTGAACACCTCGTGTGTGAGGGGAGAGGTGTTTGCGTGGCTGACTCTGCCTTCTGACCTCTGACCTCTGAAACGTGACTATGGAGAGACAAGAAGTAAGCCAACTCCATTTCTCTTCTCTGCATGAGCGGCTGCACCTCTGGTCTTTCCTCTTGAAGAAACAAGGGGATGCGTATGACTGAAAGGTTAAATGCTACACTGCAGCGTCTAACTTTCAGACTAAATAAAAAATAATAATTCTTGTCTTCTTTTTTTATTACTATTTTTTATATGTCACATACTTAATTTAAAATAAAAATATCTAGAATAAAGTATGTTATCTTAAATCTAGATTTTTTTCATTTTTAAAGTTT